TTCTGTCTAAAACAAAACCAGCTCAGGGTGGTGGTGCGCCTTTAATACCAACACTCAGGAGGCAAAGCCAGGGAGATCTCTGTGAGTTTGAGGCCAGCCTGGTCTTTAGATCGAGTTCCAGGATAGCCAGGGCTACACAGAGAAACCCTGTCTCAAACAAACAAACAAAACCCCCCAGCAATTAACAATGAAGATCAACTACCACAGTCTATCCTGTACCACTGCCTGTACCACTTACGGGATGTTCCTCACGTGGGAGGCCATGACACTGGTGCCATCTACTAGAGGATATATACTGAGTACCAACTGTGCCACTCCACCATGAAGGCCACTGTCCCCTCCAGACTCTTCCAGGACCTTATCCACAGCCATCTTCTCTCCTCTGTACTTCTTCCACTACACAGGCAGTCCCTTTCACTCAGCAGGTGTGGCAGTGTTCAGTTTTGGAGTCAAGAGTGTTTCATCCCTGTTCTGCGTTCTCTAGCTGGCGGCTCTTTGTTGTTCAGTTTCCTCACTGTGACACGTGTGTACTAACAGTAGCTACTTCTCAGGACTGTCCTGTGATTCTGGCGGCAGGAGTGGGGTTTGTTGTCTGCATACTTACTGAGTACCAAGTATAAACCAAGGCCATCAGGTCAGTGTTTCAGAAATCTGGTCCCATCTGTACGCAACTGGCATTTTCCATTGTGGCCTGTACACCAAATCAATTTGGGGTTTCTAAGTGATAAAATCGGTATTTGTAATCTTTTGTTAGGTGCAGCTCTTCTCAGGGTCAGCACAGCTCCCTAAATAAATGTGAAATCAGGGGGACGAAGGAGTTCTCCTAGGTAGTATGTACTTCAGGCAGGAACCCTGCAGTCCCTGCCCTCCAAGGCTGTGGTCCTTGTCCTTCAGGTTTTCCAGGCCAGCAGAGATAGGACGTTCCATAAATAGGACCCTTAGTAGTATTGAGGTCATTGGGTTTGTCTGATGAGTTTGAAGGTAGAAGTGATTCAGAAAAAAACTATGGAGAACTGGGGTTCAAGAGCAAAGCAAGATGTTGACCCATTGGGAATTGGGAGTCTTCATGGCATAGTGTAGGCCCTCAGGAAACTGGGAACTACTGTTATTCAGACACCCAGTCTAGTCAAAGTGATACTGGTACCACATCTCCCCTATGTCCTAGCAACTCCACTCCAAATGATACACCCAAGATATGGGAACATATGTCCACACATTCATACATGTTCAAGAATCTTCACAGGGACATTACAAGAGCCTTAAACTAGAAATGACTGAGTGTTCATCAACAAGAAAACAGATAAAACCACAGGTTTTTACAATGGTCCAAGAGATAATTCAATAAAAATTAAAAGTAAACTGAGGATAGATTTCACAGGCATTATGTTGAGTTAAGCATTATAACCAAGGGAACCTCTCACTTATAAGATGTTCCTAGAGCAGACACGGTAGCTCATGCCTGTAATCCCAGCACTTAGAAGGCTGAGGCAGGAGGACTGCCAAAAGTTCCAGGCCAGCCCAGGCTACAGAGTAGAAAGTTTGTCTTGGAAAACAAACAAACAAACAAAAGGGGTCTGGGGGTGTGGCTCACTGATAGAGGTTTGCCTGGCATGCACACTATCTGTGGCACAAGTCTGTGATCTCAACACTTGGGAGACTCAGACAGAACAGAAATTCAAGGTCACCCTCAGTTACATATAGAATTGAGGCTGGCTTCAGTTTTATAAAGCCCCATCTCCAAACAAACAAACAGGACCAGTGAGATGGCACTTATAGTCAAGTCTGCCAAGCTGATTGGAATCCCTAGGCCCCACCGGGTGGGAGGAAAGAACTGACTCCTGCAAGGTGTCCTCTGAGCTCCACATGCATGGCATGAGTACATATGTACCAAATTAAAAGAGAGAGAGAGAGAAACAGAGAGAGAGAGAGACAGAGACAGAGACAGAGACAGAGACAGAGACAGAGAGGGGAAGGAAGGAAGGAAGGAAGGAAGGAAGGAAGGAAGGAAGGAAGGAAGGAAGATACTTTTCAAAAGATTTTACACAGACACACATTATTATGTTTGTTGAGACAGGGTTTCTCTGTGTAACAGCCCTGGCAGTTCTGAAATTTGCTTTGTAGACCAGGATGACCTCACAGAGACCCTTCTACCTCTGCCTCCGAGTCCTGAGATTAAAGATGTGAGCCACCATGCTGGCCATTCTGTTCTTAGCACCTGAATGAAAGCTTACAACAGCCTGGAACTTCAGTTCCAGAGGAGCTCACTTCTTCTGGTCTTCAAGGTCACCACAAATGTAGGCAAACACTCATATGCAAAAATAAAAAATAGCCGGGCGGTGGTGGCGCACGCCTTTAATCCCAGCACTCGGGAGGCAGAGCCAGGCAGATCTCTGTGAGTTCGAGGCCAGCCTGGGCTACCAAGTGAGTTCCAGGAAAGGCGCAAAGCTACACAGAGAAACCCTGTCTTGAAAAATCAAAAAAAAAAAAAAAATAATAATAATAATAAAAAAAATAAAAAATAAATCTTCAAAAATATTACTTTTAATTATGTGTGGGTATGTGCATGTGTGTGTAGGTGTCCACAGAGGCCAGAAGAAGCCCCCAATCCCTTGCAGCTGGAGTTACAGGCACTTGTGAACTGCCCAACTTGAGTGCTTGGGAACTGAACTCAGGGTGTTCTGCAAGAGGAGTAGAGAAGGGGGGGGTTGTGGGGGGGTTGTGGGGGGATGGGAACATGAGGGATCGGGTTGGTCGAGTTGGGGGAGATATGGAGGGGGAGAGGAATGAAAGAGATATCTTGATAGAGGAGGCTATTTGGGGGTTAGGGAGGAACCTGGTGTCAGGGAAACTCCCGGGAATCCACAAGGATGGCCTCAGCTAAGACTTCTTGCAATAGTGGAGAGGGTGCCTGAACTGGCCTCCTAAAATCAGATTGGCGACTACCCCAATTGTCATCAGAGAGCCTTCACCCAGTAACTGATGGAAGCGGACGCAGAGACCCACAGCCAAGCACTGGGCCAAGCTCCAGGAGTCCTGCTGACAAGAGGGAGGAGGGATTGTATGAGCAAGGGGGAGTCAAGATCATGACAGGGGAACCCACAGAGACAGCTGACCTGAGCTAGTGGGAGATCACAGACTCTGGACTGACAGCTAGAGAGCCTGCACTGGACCGACCTAGGCTCTCTGCATGTGGGTGACAGTTGTGTAGCTTGATCTGTTTGTGGGGCCCCTAGCAGTGGGATCAGGACATGAGCCTGATCCCCACTCTGGGATGCCTGGCCCAGCCTTGATGCAGGGGGAGGAGCTTGGTTCTCCTTCAACTTGATAAACCATGCTTTGTTGACTCTCACGGGAGGCCTGTCCTTTTTTAAATAGGGAGGGGGTTAGATGGGAGGTGAGGGGAGGGAACAGGAAGAGAGGAGGGAGGGGAAACTGGTTCGTATGTAAAATAAATGAAAAAAATTGAAAATAATATATATTATTAAAACAAAAAAGGAATGAAGAACCAGCCTGCCTCTATCTTAGGCTTAAAAGCCATCTTATAGTAAAGATAAACTAGGTTGATTACTATTTATGATTAAATCTGTTTCTCACGGATTGGGCTATGCCTACTTGTGATCTTAACTGCACATGGTTCTGGACTGCCTGTTCCAGGAATGGCAATCATGTCTTTGTTTCCCAAGTTGTTTATAACCTCTTGCACCATACCTTTGTTTCAAAAGGTTATATGGCCACCCGTGACTACCTTGTTATGCCTACCCTGCAACCATGTCTTTGTTTCAGGAGGTCGTTAGGACCTTATGTTCTGTTACTATAACCTGACCTATTTTGCCTGCCAAATCTCCCATTTGGAAACCCCCTACCTCTGAGCTTTATAAAAGCCTGGTTTTCCACACATCCAATGCTGACCTCTTGAACCCTGCCTCAGGGGGAGGCAGCCCATGTACACGAATAAAAAAGCTTGGTTTAACTAATTGTTTGCTTTAGTTAATTTGGCCATGATGATCTGGGTCTGTGATATTTCTCCTCCTGTCTCTGGGATTAAGAGTACGATCTTTAGTCGAAATTCCTCTAGTCCAAAGGCAAGAATTTCAAAAACACTAGAACAAACAAATTAGAGTGAATATATAATCGAAGCCAGAAATGTGGTTGGGGGATATCCGTTATTGACCAGACAGTAATATAAGAGGACTTTTGTGAAATGTTGGAATTATGTTATATCTGATACTTGACACATGAGCATATTAATATGTAAAAATTGAATTGATCTGTACTTAAGACTTAAGCCCATCATTGTATACTATGTCTCAATAAAAGTGTTCTAGTTGATGAGGACGATAATAGCTACCAGTTGCTGAGTATCATACTGTCGGCAATGTCCCCCTGGATCTGAATCCCACTGCTTTGCCATTACTGGTTCATGTCACTTCGAGGTCCTGGGAAACCGTCTTGAAGAACTGAAGGTGGGAACGCAAGTACCTTTGGGAAAGGAAGTTCCCAAAGACTCCAAAGACTCAAGGTTCAAGCGCCGACTTCTCGGCTAAGGCGCTTACGTGACTGCGGTGCTGGTGGCCCCTCCCGCCGTGCTCCTGCAGATAGCCCCGCCCAAGCAAGGCCTCCAGAAGAAGTAGCCAATCAGCAGCCGGCCTGGCCCGGGGTCACTGACCTGGAGTCTCCGTCACCTAGGCTGACCACCAGTTTCCAATGAGCGAGCTACCCCGCGGCCATCCACGATCAGCCTCCTTATGTCCCGTGCCATTCGCGGCCCGCAGCGTTTCCGCAGAGTACGCTTTACCCTTGCCGGTTGGCGCTGCGCCAGCCAATCATTGGTGTTTCCGGGCCAGACAGCCAATGGCCGTCCGCCTCCGCGCCGGCCTCGCGACGGTCGCGGCTATGCGCCTTGCTGCTCGCGGGAAACGGAGGTGGATTGGCGCAAGCAGGGGCCAATGGGCGGTGCGCACGAGGAGCGGGGCCAATGAGCGCTCCAGAGGCGGGGCGGGCGCCGCGGCGGGCGGCTGCGAGGAGCGGCCGGTAGTGGTGGCGGCGGTGGCGGGTGGCGGCAGCGGTCAGCGGTCGGCCATGGCGGAGGCGGAGGCCGGCGGCGACGAAGTCCGCTGCGTGCGGCTGAACGCCGAGCGGGCCAAGGTACTGCTGGCCGACGTAGACACGCTGCTGTTCGACTGCGATGGCGTGCTGTGGCGCGGCGAGACGGCTGTGCCCGGCGCGCCGGAGACGCTGCGGGCGCTGCGGGCCCGCGGCAAGCGCCTGGGCTTCATCACCAACAACAGCAGCAAGACTCGCAGGGCCTACGCGGAGAAGCTAAGGAGCTTGGGTTTCGGCGGCCCGGTGGGACCCGACGCGGGCCTCGAGGTCTTCGGCACGGCCTACTGCAGCGCGCTCTATCTGCGCCAGCGCCTGGCCGGCGTGCCGGACCCCAAGGCCTACGTGCTGGGCAGCCCGGCCTTAGCCGCCGAGCTGGAGGCCGTGGGTGTCTCCAGCGTGGGTGTGGGCCCGGAGGCGTTGGAAGGCGAAGGTCCGGGCGACTGGCTGGCCGCGCCGCTCGAACCCAACGTGCGCGCGGTAGTGGTGGGCTTCGACCCACACTTCAACTACATGAAACTCACCAAGGCCGTGCGGTACCTGCAGCAGCCCGACTGTCTGTTCGTGGGCACCAACATGGACAACCGGCTCCCGCTGGAGAACGGCCGTTTCCTTTCGGGTCCGTGCGCCTAGGGGCTGGAGGTTGGAGGGCGGGCCCAGCCCTTCCGTGTCTTCTGACCCCCAGCGTCCCCTTCCCTCCTTCGCCCTGCAGGTACCGGCTGTCTGGTGCGAGCCGTGGAGATGGCCGCCCAGCGCCAGGCGGACATCATCGGGAAGCCTAGCCGCTTCATCTTCGACTGCGTGTCCCAGGAGTATGGCATCAACCCGGACCGCACCGTCATGGTGGGAGACCGCCTGGACACAGACATCCTCCTGGGCACCACCTGTAGCATGAAGACTATCCTGACCCTCACCGGAGTCTCCAGTCTTGAGGATGTGAAGACTAATCAGGAAAGTGACTGCATGTACAAGAAGAAAATGGTCCCTGACTTTTATGTTGACAGCATAGCCGACCTCTTGCCTGCCCTTCAAGGTTAAAGATCTAGTATCTTTAATCTCTGGAATAAAAAAAAAATGAAAATCAGTTACCTAAATTAATAGGTGGGGCTTACAAATGGCTCAGTTAGGTTGCTACAGGTTAATTGGAGTTAAGCAAAGGCAGTAGTTAACCTTGTAAGGTTAAAGTAAGTAAACTTTGGGGGGGGGTGTTGTTTACAGATGATTGTATTTTAAGATGCACTTTTAAACTTGGAAGGCATTATGGGGTGGGCCCTGGGCTTTATATGTATTGGCAGGGGTGGGCATAGCGTCTCCCCGGGATTCAGGTTACCTGAAGTGGGTCAAGGGTTTTGTGTCGTGCTTTATACTGAAAAATGTTTTCAGAGATCAGACCCTAGGGTGGGCGAAGAGGAAAGGGCGGACTCTTGATGAGACTCGTGTGCCCACCAAGAACTGAAGTTTCCCCCAATGTCATCCTGCAGCAGAGAAGCCTGCTGCTGTGCATTTCCTCACCTGCAGGGTGGGGGTGGGGAAGCTACTCCCAGGTGGGATCACTGTTGTTGGGGTTTAGTATGCTGCCCTTGACAACTTCCACTCACCCCTACTTCCTTGAAAACCTCTTTGATGTCACAATTGTCTGTTTCAGATGCCCAGCACTACAGCCCCTCATGCACAGTAACAGCCTAGCTAAATTTTGGCTCTCTTGTGTGAATTTAAACCCACATGTGTCACTGAGTGTGGTCTGCTGAGCAGCCAGGCGGGTATGGATGCTTGCACTGAACTCCATACTGCTGTACAGGAATCTTAAAACTGTTTATTTTTTAAAAAAATTTTTTTTCTTCTTAAACTACTGAACAACATTGTCAAGTGTGGAATTGGATCTTAAGTGTATGGATTAATAGCTGTGCTGACTCAAGGGTAAATCCAACTGAAGAAATCTCACACCCCAGTCAGCAGCATAGCTCGTGTGCAAGCCAAGGATTGCCTTGTTTCCCAGAGTGCCCTCTGGGTATGGAAGGAAAGAAGTCCTGAGAATAGTCTCTAACAACACATCCAACCTCCCTTGCCTGTGTCCTTTGGGTTGTGGCTGGGTTATATGTCGGTGCTCCACAAAACCATCTATTTCCAGCCAGAAGGCCCACCTTACCAACCAGTTGGCTTCTCAGCATCTCTGGCCTTTTCCTCGGCTCTGCAAGTCTCTGACCTTTAGCAGTCTACTGAGCAGACTGGGCAGCGTTCATGGGGCAAGCCCAGGAAGCTGTTCCTTTTGGCTTAGTCCTTCCTTCCTGGCACCTTGCCCTGTACCAAGTGGCTACTCATGATCACAGCACTTCACCTGTTCACCAGGTTCTCAACAATAAAATGTATCCCATGCCTGAAGCTGCTCCCAGGTCAGGGGTGGCTGGGAGTGGAATAGTGCCATAATTCAACTGAAGGCAGCAGTGCCTGTGACACTGGCGGGGCAGATCCTCTGTGAGGGTGGCTCCGTGAATCTGGGTAACGCACAGACCTGTCACGGCATTATCACCCACATTAGGAGCACTCAGCAGATGCAGCAGCAAGGATTGCCCCTTCTAGTACTGAGCAGCCCGAGAACCTGTGTGTGTTAACTGCTGGCTTGTTTCACTGTGTGAACTCAAATGCACATTAAACTCTCAAACCCGCACTGCCTTCCTCTATCTATTTTGAGTAGCAGCTGTCTAGCTATGGGTGGAGAGCAAGGCAGGAATACTGAGGGTGGGCTGGGATCCCAGCTCCAAAATCTTACACAGTGGACATGACCCTGCAGCCCCACCCTTCTTGTGAGGAACAGGTCCTGAGGAAACAGGAAGTATTAGCATAAAAGCAGAGTTGAATAAAGCTACTGGGTAAAACATGTGGATGTGTGTACAGCTGACCTATCCTGTCAAATAGCTAAGACAGAACAAGGACCAGAACAGTTAACAGCTTGGTTAGAAAAAACATGATAGCGAACAGGCTGGCCTAGACCCTGATGTGCAGCAAGCCGTTGCTGTAGTCCAGCCTGGAGCCCACTTGTCACACACAGGAATATCCGCAGCCCCATCTGGTGTTCATAGGGTCTGGAAAGAGGCTTGGGAGTTTGTGGCGAAAGTAAGAAAGCAATTAGCCTCATACTGATGGTTCATTGAACATTTATTGATGGTTCATGTGTCTAGCTCAGGAGTCCAGATATAACTGACTCCCAAGGAAAAAAATCTGCCCAACCAGACAAAATGATCCTGGACAAGACCTAGCCAGTTGTTCTGACTTCCCACCAAGGCCTGCTTTCACCTGCTCACAGAAACCATGTTCTGCATAGGCCAGCTGTCCAGAGACATGCCTGGTGACCAGTAATCACAGTGGAGAGAGGGCTGTCCTGGCTCTGACCCGGGCTATCAGATACTGGGAGGAAGCAGTGGGATCAGGAGGGGAGGATACAGTTTGACTCATCAAAGGCATCCTGAGGTTTCCCTGGCTGACTCCTCCAAGGGGCCGTAGACAATCAGTGCATTGTCAGCGGCTGTAGCATGGAGCGAGGGCACATCCACACTGAAAGCCTCAGGTCCAGGCTTCTTGAGGTAAGTGTCTCTACCATCCCCACACAAGAACACAGGGATAGATACCGCAGGAGACAGGAGTGTTACCATCCACCATCAACCCTTTCCCTGAGGAAGTGGGATCCCTGGTCTCTAACCCAGAAGCCCCACTGACAGTAATGTGCCCCCAGGTGAAGACTAAAACCTGCCCTAGGGGCTGGAGAGCTGCAGGCCTGCTGCTACTGCTGACACTGGCCACTGCAGGGGCCCTAGCTGGAGGGCTTCTTGGCTTCCTGTACAGCCCTCCCAAGGTGAGCCACTCCTCAAGCCCAGGGGTATACGGAGTGGGAAGGGGGCAAGAAGGCCAGTACCTGTTAATCCTCCCATAGGGCCAGGCCTAAACACTAGCCTTGAGCAGACCGAGAACCAAAAGGAACAAAGGCCTACTCTGGTGATGTGGAAATACAGATGTCAGGGCTGAATTCCAAATACCCCTTAGCCATTGTTGCAGATGCTCCAAAAGACCTTCTCAAGCTCCAGGGTGCCCTGGCCCAACCAAACCACTCTAGTGGACGTGGCCCAGAACATGGCAACTATCGTGGTGTCTCCGCTTCAGAACAACCACAGCTGGGCCGTGCTGTTCGACGGGCAAAGTGTGAGTAGGCTTGGGAGGGGGACAGAGTGGAGGTATCAGGGGTGGCCTTGACTTACCTATCTGCCTTCCCAGGGCTACATCTGTTACCGCCCTGCAGAGCACCAGGCCTGCTTCCTCCGTCTGATGGAAGCCCAAGATTGGGAGACCCTACGGCTGCTGGTGAACACTTCCAGGGTGAGCAGTACCACTTGGCTTGCCGCCCCTCCCACCCACCCCCAAGGCCAGGGGACAAACAAAAGGTCCTCTGTGCAGCCCGGCTGGGCCAGCCAAGGCTCTGGTTTCAGGGGAACAGAAAGCTCTATCTTCCCCTCACTAAGGTTGTTGACAGGAGCAGGTGGAAGGGCCATCAGGCTGGGGCGGAATATGGATGCCCCACCCAGCCAGGACCAAGGAAACACTATATGGTGGCCCACTAGAGTCTTTCTGCAGGCCCAAGAATCCCGTGTACCTGGCCAAGACACCCACTATGCCCAGGAGCTGCTGGCAGTTTTAGGGGGCCATACCGTGGACCCTGCCCAAGTGGGAGCTTCGGTGCAACACCTTTGCGTGGATACTCCCATCTACTGGGCCCGACGAGCAGAGGGTGAGTTGGGGTAGGTTGAGCAAAGAGGCCTATGGCTCCTGCAGGACAGTACTGGGTGGGAGCCCTTGGGACTCATGAGTTCCCTTCTCCCCAGGGCCCCAGAGACAGCGGCTGATCTACCTCTGCATTGACATCTGCTTCCCGAGCAACATCTGTGTGTCCGTCTGCTTTTATTACCTTCCAGACTAAGCCCCCTACCGAGCCCTCATGGCCTTTGGTCCCACAGGCCACTCCTGTCCCTACAGGTCAGCAAGCTGGTCAGGTCACCAGCACCAACAAAGGGCAGCTGACAGTGGGGACAAATAAACCCAGATTACCCGGCCATAGTGGTAATTTCTGGGGGCCTCAGGACCTATACAGGGGTAGAGAGGGACAAAAGTGGGGGGTAACGTACCTGGGAAATGGGCACCAACCTCGGATCTCAACCGTTCCAAGCCCTCTGGGTCTAGCCTCTAAAGGGAGAAAAGACTCCCAGTCCAGGCCCATGGAGTCTGGCTTAGTGAGCCTTCTGACAACAAACTGGGCATGGAGAGTCCCAGGGTAGAGTGGCCAACAGTCTAGGTTGGCCAAAAGGGGCCAGGGTAGTCTGGTCAGGTCCAGCTGGCCTGACATGCAGAGGCTGACCTGAGAGGCCAGGATATTGTTCAGGTACATCCTGTTAGAGCCACTATACCAGGCAGTTCTGACTGCCCAACGCAGCCTCAAGGGGTAGAGGCTAACCCAGCACGCTGTCATTGAAGGCCAAGCAGACGACAGCTTTCTGATGGCCACCATACTCTCTCTTGATCTCTCCAGTCTCTACACACCAGAGCCGGGCCAGGTTGTCAGAGGAAGCTGCAAGAAGGGTCAGGCAGAAGGAAAGCAGCAACCATGAATGACCTCTCTAGAGGCCTAGGCAATCGGGGGGAGACAGGAGGGCAGGGCTCACCTGTGACTATATACTGGGAGTCCCCTGAGAAGGCACAGCCCCACATCCAGCCACGAGATGACTCTCCAGGGTTACTACTCTTGATGCTGAGCTCCGTCATCAGGGAGAAGTTGGATGTCCTCCAAATTTTACATGTCTGGTCAGCTGAACAGGTAGCAAGGAGCCTGGGGTTGGACATTGGGTATCTCAGCAGCTACTACTACCCTGTATCCACTTACCACACACCAGGTAGTGTCCCCAGCCCCTGCATATGCCCCCTCCCCCCAGGACCCTAACACGCACGTGGAGTCAGGGCTGAAGCGACATTGCAGGGCATAGCGTGTGTGGGCTGGGATCTTGGTCTTGGGAATGAGCTGAGTCACCTCGTCACCAATGCCCCCTGTCAGGTTCCAGACATAGCAGTTTCCCTATAGGATAGGAGGGCAGTCATTCAAAACCCAGACCCTCAGCTCTGGCCTTGGATCCAGGGATGCCTGGGCCAGGGTAGGAAGGTTGGCATCTTGGGTCAGATCTATAGAAAGCTTGGCCCCAACAAGGAACAATGCCGAGCCAGCCAAAAGCAGGAGGCCACACAGGCTAAGGACTTAAACACAGCTCCCTTGAGGCTGCTGCTGGCCAACAGAGATGTGCAGGAGAGGAGGTGGTAAGGAGGGCACCCAAATAGATGTAACAACCCAAGGCTGGGAAGAAGGAGTGCAAGGATGTGGAACAAGTGATGTTCTGGGATTTAAAAGGAGAAAATGAGACTAGAGATGAAAGCAGGGATCAAACCAAAGCATCCTGCAGTCCATGAGGAGCCAGAGCACCTTAAGAAGAGTACAGCCTGCCATAAGGCTAAAGGACACTTCTACAGTTGAAGGAGAACAAACCAGGTATCCCAGGAAGGCCACAGAGAAGTCTGTCAGTATCAGGGAAGGTCAAAGTCATGGACAGGAACATAAAAGAAAAGGAGGAATAACCGGCCCTGAGAAATCTGGTGAGGTGCCGAGTGTGGGTAGGCTATGGCAGACAGCAAGGTGGACATCAGGAGTGGTACCCAAGTGCCTGACTTTGGGAGCTGGGTGGAAAACGTAGAGGGGCCTGAGGGACAACCAGGGAGTCAACTCCTCTGCAGAAGAGGAGGGACTAGGTGCTGCTGCACCCAATCCCAGTACTCACAGCACTATTGACGGCTGCCATGTAGCTGGCATCGGGGTCAATGTGGGCAGACGTGATGGAAACCTCAGGCTCAGGGATCAGCTGCTCGTTGTGGTCTGTCTTCAGGTCCCAGATGTGGATAGCACCGCTCTGGTCACCCACAATGAGTTCTGCCTGGGATGTAGTGGGGGTAAGACGTGGCACTATCTCTGCCCTCCAAAGCCCCTAGGTACCTGGCCCCATGAGCGCTTCTCACCTGGTTGGGATGCAGACACACACAGTTAATGGGCGCGTTCACCTGGAAGATGCGTTGGCACTGCAGGTTCCTGGACCTGGGGGTCAGGGTTGCGCACGGTGTCTGTTACCAGTGTCCCACCAAAAGCCCCCTTCCCTGCTAGTAAGAGTTGCTTCCACCTTAGGAGCTTGTGGAATTTGGCTCATCCCCACAGATGGTAGTGTGAGCCCAGTAAAAAGGGAATGAAAGTCCGGCCGCTAGCCTGAAGGCAGGGCTGGCTCTTTGATGTCCATCCTGGTTTCCTTCTTCCCTCAAAGGCCCACTCAAAGCCCCCTTGATTAGTCTGTTCATAGAACACCTGCCCAAGGACAGTCCCCTGGCAGCCCTCTCCCCAGGCAGCCATCCTCTCCAGCCCAGCACTCGACACCTGAGGTCCCAGATTCGAGCCGTGCAGTCCTCTCCGCCCGTGTACATCCAGCGGCCATCCTCATGAAAGCCCACAGATGCAATGTTCTTATTGACTCCGTCATAACTGATGATGGGGTTGGGGTTATTGGAGTTGAGATCATACATGCGGATATGTTGATAACCTAGGGACACAGTCTGAATTGAAGCATGGGTGCCAGGTAGTCCTGCCACCAGGCAAGGGCAGAGGTCAAGAATCTTAGGTACCTGCAGCAGCAATCATGCTTCGGTCTGGTGTGATCTCCAATGCATTCACCTGCTGAGTATGTTAAGGGTGATAGGAAGGGAACCCTGGAAAGGGAGGCCTTGTGGCCATAGGCCATCAAGACCTCCACGACCTGGCCTGAGTTTCCCCAGGCACTTGTCATTCATACTTAATCCTGGCCAGCACCACCCTGCCTGCTCCCAAGTGGAGGATACGGAGTCCTGATGCTGCACTGTTCGAGTGCAGATGCCACTATGCGCCTGCCAAAAGCGCACAGTGTGGTCATAGCCTGCAGTTGCCAAGATGACAGGGTCACTGCCCACTGTGCCTGGGGTGGTGTTCATTGTTTGATAGCAGGGAAAAATGAGGCCTGCACTGGGCCAAGAGCTGATAGGCAAGGTCCAAAGGTCAAAACATCTACAGGAAAAGATGTATGTATGAGAAAACAATCTGCACACTACACAGAGTATTATCTCTTTAAAGATAAGAAAAATGAGAGAGGCGACTCAGCTCCTCTGCTTCCCTGCATGCGCATGCATTCCTTCAGCTTCACCAGCAGGGATGGAGACGTCACCCCGCCTGCAGCCAGCAGGAGGCAGTCACACATAGAGGGCAATCACAGGGGCGCCGTCTGCCGCAAGGGTAGGCAACGCATGCGCAGGGCGACTTGGGGAAAAGCCGGGCAACGCTGCTGCTGCGCATGCGTAGCTGACCGGCATTGGGATCTGATGGGTGGGGGCACTATGTGGCAAGACCCCCGAGCTCCCCTGTGCTGTGCAGACCGCCCTGGCTCTGTCCTACCAGCTTGATTCCCCCGACCGCACCCTCCTAGCCACCCAGCGGCTGGTACGCAGCCCTTGTCCCGCGGCCTCCGTACCTTACACACGCTCAGCACTCTGCCTTGGTCCAGGACTGCGAGGCGAGTAGGAGCGAGTCGATAGAAGCCGGGCCGAACCTAGAGTTATCGATAGCTGCTCTGGGCGAGACCATGAGTCCGGGGAGTGGGGGAATGGGCAGAGATACCAAAGTTCTGAAACGAGGAACTGCAGAAGCGGTCACGCGCGGAGTGGGCGTCAGCCGTGACCCCAGCCTTGTACTCACTGGACATCACAGCCATGGTGCGGATGCCTATTTCCAGGCTTGGTTCCCAGGAAGGATCGCACTGTCGTTGTCCCCCTACCCCTGCGCACATATACAGTCCCCTACCCTACCTATCAAGCTACAATTTCCAGGCAAATACAAAACTTTCAGATTAAAAAAAAAATTTTTTTTTTGTATAGACATATCTCAAACGTTGTACTAAAAGAATTACTTTCTTACAAGAAGCTCAAATGCAACTGGGCATTCTGTACTTCTATTTGCTTTATCTGGTAACCCTAGTCTGGGCCCTTTCAGACCTGTCCAGCCCCAGTCTGACCCTCAGTGCATACAAGTTAGCCTAGGAACTCCTTTAAAACTGCAGATTCTCATGCCTCCATTTTTTTTGTGGGGGGGAGGGAGTTCGAGACAGGGTTTCTCTGTGTAGTTTTGATGCCTGTCCTGGAACTTGCTCTGTAGACCAAGCTGGCCTCGAACTCACAGAGATCCCCCTGGCTGTGCCTCCCGAGTGATGGGATTAAAGGCATGCGCCACCACGCCAGGCGCCTCCATTTTTATTACAGCCCTCCGAACTCCACGAAGTTAGCCTTGTTTTCCCATGATTCCTTCCCACAGCACCTATAGATGGGGCTGCAAACCCCTTTTTCCTCTGACCACAGAAAGGTTGAGTCCAGATCCTCGGCTAAAGCCAATTCCTGTCCATGCACCCAGGTCCTTGATCATAGACACCCCCCCCCCCCCCCCCGCGCTTCCTTTTCCCAGGCCCTCTTTACCTTTACCTCCTTAGCTTGTTCTCTCCCTCCCTCTCTCTCTCTCTCTCTCTGTTTTTTTTGAGACAGAGTTTCTCCGTGCTAGCCTCGAACTCACAGAGATCCACCTGCCTCTACCTCCTGAGATTAAAGGTGTGCACCACCACCACCTGGCTTTGTTTTTTCAACCAGGGTTTGTTTGGTATCCCACAGTGGCTTCAAACTTATGTAGGCAGGATGACCTTGAACTTTAAGTCCCCTGTCCCTCACCGTAGGCTTTGCACATGCTAGGCAAGTACACTACCATCTGAGTGTCAATGCTAATTCCAGCCTCCCCTTACTTAGCGTTTTAGAACTAAAAACAATCCCAATACTCTTTCCAGCTCAACTCTCTCCTCCAAAGAGCTGTCCTCACTGTGTTGGTAGCTCCACTTGCTACCTCCCCCTCATTCCTCAAGCTTTACCCCCAGCTCTTTGGAGAAATTCCTCAAGGCCACTGCCCAGCTTAATCTGCCAAGCCTGGTAGATACTTTCTTTCCACCTCTTGACCCTTGTGTACTGTGGATGACAGAAAATCTCATCTCCTGCTTTGTGCCCTAGTACCAGTACCAGATCTACCTCAATGGGCTCTCTTCCTTTCCCCTCCTCCTCCTGACACTCCCCTTTTCTCTTTGCCTTACCCGAGAGGCTCTGTGGCTTCCTATGCCATCTTTAGTCTGGTGTCCCGCCACTTTAATCTCCAACTTCCAGGCTCTTGAAGCACATCTAGTTCTCTGTTAAATATGGCACACAATGGCCAGGCGGTGGTGGCACACACCTTTAATCCAGATCTCTGTGAGTTTGAGGCCAGCCTGGTCTACAGAGCGAGTTCCAGGACAGCCAGGGCTACACAGAGAAATCCTGTCTTGAAAAACCAAAAAAAAAAAAAAAAAAAAAAAAAAAAAGGCACACAAATACACACATGCCGCACAGAGCACACCACCTCTCATGCCTAGGGTAACCCCTCAGGGACCAGTTATCCTGTGTGAGCAGTGTCCAACTCTGTGTTATAACTGGCTATAATCTGAGTACATCCCTCATCCTTGCCATTTTCAGCCAACGATTTCACCCGGCACCCACCTCCTCACATCTTTTTTTCCCCTAGACAGGGTTTCTCTGTGTAGCCCTGGCTGTCCTGGATCTCTCTTTGTAAGCCAAGCTGGCCTCGAACTCACAGAGATCCACCTGCCTCTGTCTCCCGAGTGCTGGGATTAAAGGCGTGCACCGCCACCGCCACCACCCACCCGCACATCTTGGGAAGCCCTGTTCTAGTCCCCCTTTAACAGTCAGCCTGTTTGCCACACCCTCTTCTTTCTCCTCCTCCTCTTCTTCACATCATTTCATGCATCCCAGGCTGGTTGCTCGGTAACTAAAGATGACCCTGACCTCCTCCTGCCACCACAAGTGCCGGAGTCACAGATGTGCCTGTGTGGTCTTTTGCAAACTGAAATCTGGCCTTATTAATCCACAAGAGTCTTCAGGGGTTCTGGAAACCTTCCAGGTTCCTGGGTCTAGCCCTAATCTCTCCTCCCCTCAGGCCACTGGTTCAGTGGAGGATGTGACAGTCTTTCACCACACCCTGACTTAGGTCCTTTGCCTATGCCTAGGCTGTTCTTCCCTCCACCCCTTCACCTACCCAGCTCTTGGCTCTCTCATAAAGCAACCTTCACTTTATGAGCTTGTTCTTTGTGGGACTTTGTGCTGGTTCAGGTGAAACACACAAAGCATAAAATTGTCCCTTTATTAAAGGTTTGTTTTTATTTATGGGTATGTGTGTGTGTCCATGTTATTATGCATACATGCATGCAGGTGCCTTCAGAGGCCAGGAAAGAGTATATGATCCCCTAGAGCTGGGGGTTACAGGTAGTAATGAGCTACCTGATTATAAGTGCATTGGTGTTTTGCCTGCATGTATGTCTGTGTGAAGGTGTCAGATCTCTTGGAACTGGAGTTACAGACAGTTGTGAACTGCCATGTGGGGGCTGGAAACTGAACTCAGATCCTCTGCAAAAACAGAATTGCTCCTAACTGATGAACCATCTCTCTAGTCGCACAATTGGCCATTTAAATTGAACAGTTCAGGCAAGGGATGCAAATCAGTAGTAGAGAGACTGCCTGGTACATTCTAGGCCATCCCAGCAATACATAAATAAAAACAGAATGAATAATTTAGTCAACATGACAATCCTGGCACTTGGGAACCTGAGTTAGGAGGATCGTGAGTTCAAGGCCAGCCTCACTTGTCTACATAATGAGAACCTGTATTTAAAAAAGAATCGGAGCCGGGCGGTGGTGGCGCACGCCTTTAATCCCAGCACTCGGGAGGCAGAGGCAGGCGGATCTCTGTGAGTTCGAGGCCAGCCTGGACTACCAAGTGAGTTCCAGGAAAGGCGCAAAGCTACACAGAGAAACCCTGTCTCGAAAAACCAAAAAAAAAAAAAAAAAAAAAGAATCGGATCCGGGCGGTGGTGGCGCACGCCTTTAATCCCAGCACTCGGGAGGCAGAGGCAGGCGGATCTCTGTGAGTTCGAGGCCAGCCTGGTCTACAGCGCGAGATCCAGGAAAGGCACAAAGCTACACAGAGAAACCCTGTCTCGAAAAACCAAAAAAAAAAAATAAAAAATAAATAAATAAATAAATAAAAAAGAATCGGGCTGGAGATATGGCTCAGCAGTTAAGAGCAGTGGCTGCTCTTCCAGATGACCCGGGTTCGATTCCCAGCACCCATATGGCAGCACACAACTGTCTATAACTCAAGTTCCAAGGGATCTGACACCTTCACACAGACATACATGCAGGCAAAACACCAATGCACATATAATAAAAAGAAGATAAAAAAAAAAGAATCAGCTGGGCGGTGGTGGCGCACGCCTTTAATCCCAGCACTCGGGAGGCAGAGCCAGGCGGATCTCTGTGAGTTCGAGGCCAGCCTGGGCTACCAAGTGAGTCCCAGGAAAGGTGCAAAGCTACACAGAGAAACCTTGTCTCGAAAAATCAAAAAAAAAAAAAAAAAAGAATCAATTCAATGGTACAGTGACTTAGTGCATTGACACTGTGCAACTACTACCTCTACGTGGCTACCAGATGTTTCCATCCTTCCCTTAAAAGAATAAGCAGAAGCCGGGCGGTAGTGACACACGCCTTTAATCCCAGCGCTGGGGAGGCAGAGCCAGGCAGATCTCTGAGTTTGAGGCCAGCCTGGGCTACAGAGTGAGTTCCAGGACAGCAGGGATGCATGCTGAAACCCTGTCTTGAAGAGAGAGAGCATAGGCAGTTACTCCCACCCTCTTTCCCCAACCCAGGCCCTGGAAACCACTAACCTTGTCTCTGTGAATTGGCCTCTGCTGGACATTTCCTATCAATGGAAAGACAAATTTATAGCCTTTTGTATCTTGTTTCTCTACTTAGCATTGTGTTCTCAAGGTTCATTCAGTGGTATGGGTCACTATGTCATTCCTTTCTGTGGCTAAACAGTATCCCATTGTGTGCATGGACCTCGTTTTATTTGTTTGATGATGGACAACTGAGTTATTTCCTTCTTTCAGCCATTGTGACATAGCGCTGCTATAAATGTTTGTGTATGCAAGCATTTGTGTGCATACATGTTTTCATGTGACTTGGAACTATTTTAGGGATGTGTGGTGATATATTGTGTATCAACTAAAGCTTGCCTGAGGGTCAGAGGACAGAGCCAGCCACTTGATTAAACATAGAGGCCAGGCAGTGGTGGCACACACCTTTAATCCTAGCACTCAGAAGGCAGAGATCCATCTGGATCTTTGTGAGTTCAAAGCCACCCTGAACTATATGAGAGTGATTCAGTCTAGGAGAGAAACAGAGCCAGGCAGTGGTGGCACACACCTTTAACCCTGGTACTTGGGAGTCACACACCTTCAATCACAGCACTTGAGATCTCACACCTTTGCTACCAATATTTGGGAAGCACAAGCCATTAATCCCAGCACTAGGAAGGAAGTGAAATGACTGGGCAGAGAAAGGCATATAAGGCAGAGGAGAGAGGAACTAGGTCTTTCAGCTGAGGACTCCGAGGCTTTCAGTCAGAGGATTCCTGGAGATAGGATCTCGCCTTCCATTTGGCCTGAGGTTTTGGTAGTGGTGAGAAGTTTCTCTAGTGGCTTGTTCCTTTGTCTCTCTGATCTTTCAGCATTTACCCCAATATCTGGCTCTAGGTTTTTATTTTAAAGCCATTTAAGATTCGTGCGACAGGAATGGAATTACTGGGTCACGTTAGCTCTATGTTCAGCCACTGAGACATTTCTCCAGCCTGCTATGTTCAACTTTTTGAGGAACTGTCAACACATGATGAGTGTTTTCACTACATCATACTTAGTGTTCTATAGTGACTTCGCTCAGGAGGCTCAGTCCCCCATCTGGGGACATCTTGTCAGAAAACAGGCCCAGAGCTGCAGAATTGCTGTCAAAGGCTCATGACTGCAAGATGGTGGACCCCAGTTTGGCTCAGCTGCAGTCCAGACCCCACTCTCTTCTGACCTCATCCTTTCTGGCCAGCTGAGGAGACTGATCCACAGGGACCCTGCACCTCGTCTACCTTACTTATCTTCCTTTTGATGAAGCATAAGCTCCCCAAAAGCAGCTCCACTGAAGTTCAGAGGCAGCTATGGTGAGTCCTGGGCATGCTGGATGGAAGAGGAGAGCCAGCATCAGAAGGATGTTTGAATCAGTATCAGTCAGGATGGGTGGGACCCACGAACACAGGAGAAGAGTGGCCAGATGTGTGTTCCTGAGCTGTTGTCCTTTCTTCGGGACTCTGGGTGGGGCCAGGAACTAAAGGCTGGGATGCTGCAGATGGTCCAACTCAGAGACTGCTGTTAAACTGGGCGTGGCCCTGAGCATTCTGAGCAGCTTCAGCATCTCTGTGGGGTAGGAGGAATCTGGAGCGTGTGGCTTTTGAGCCTTTGTGAGATACTACTCACCGGCATAGCACTTCACAGAGGTGATACCCACAAAAATGACACCTGACATATGCTTCCAGCAGCCCATGAGAAGGCACACTCAACATCACCATTGTCTATGTGAGGGCTGGGTACCAGTGCTTGGGGGATGCCCTGAGCAGGCACACAGCTGACAGGCAGAGGCAGGGGCTGCGGGCTGGCTGGCGGCAGCTAAGCATCCGGGAAGAAAGCCAGTCAGGGCTGCAGTGAAGACGCCATCAGCTCAGCAATTCTGCTGGCTCAGCGGCCCCTCCTCCCAGGATCTTCTTCAGAGGTCTGACATCCTGGAGGGCTGCCCCAGACCCACTGCATCCTTTGCCCCCCAGGGGTAGATGACAGCCTGCTGTGCTGCCCTCATCGCCAGGTGGATGGGGAGGGCATCCAGGCAGGTGAACAACTCTGTATCCATGAAGACATTCCCATCAGCCCTCCAGAGAGAGCTGCTGTCCCATTTTACTGACCGAGCAGCTGAACACCAGGAGCTTGTCCATTATGGTCACTAGTTAACAGCCCCTTGGTCTCCTGGATCCCCCCTGGGCTCTAGACTGACCTAGCAGGGGAAGCCTCTGGCTTTCCTTCTGCCACTGCCCACCCTGTGAAGTAAGGAATCACTGGATCCAGAAGCCCACTGGAGTCCAGATGTCCCTTCCAGACCACAGTATGAATATTTAACTGGGACCCTTGAATTTCCTGCCCCAAAGGATCTAGTCAATTTCTGTGGTCTGCACATCCCTCTTCCCGGGCAGGCGGGCGGGCTATACAATGGGATGCCCACACCTGGCCTGAGGAGTGGCTCAGGGGTTCCTGTTTATGGGGTGTAGCTGATGCTGAAGCTGGACAGAGAACAAGAATATGACAGCTACAGGCAAGGGCCAGTTCTTTACCCAAAAGCAGTCCAAGAATTCTAAATTTAAACTTGCCCTTTCAGGTCTTGGTGAAGGTATATTTGTCAAAGGTAGGAGGCTAGAACATATTTTATTTAATAGGTTATTAGTGTGAGTTACAACATTGAAATAGACATTTGGTGAGTGGGCTTCTGTTTGTATTTTTGCCCTAGGTCCTACAAAGATTATTTACCTTAGCAGCTCCAAACACAGCAATAATAGTCATGATAATAGCTGTTTTCTTTTTATATATTTACTTCTTTTTGTGGTGCTTCCTGTGTGCTTGGCACTGTATCATGTGAAGATGAATCCGATACAGTTGCAATTCCTGCAGGGGGACAGACCCACGAACAGCACACTATTCACAGCAGCTATTTGCTGGGCATTTACTATATCCAGGATTAACTGTGAGGACAGCATCACAATTCACCCTGGAGTGGATGGAGGGGATACATTGTTGACCCACCTTTGACAGAGAGGGTAGATAAAAGACTCGGAAAGACAACGTGACCAGTTCAGGCTGACAAAACAGTAAGGAGAAGAACTGAGGCAGGAATCAATGTAGGTTCAAAGTCCAGACTCATGACCTTGAGACCCAGGGACCTTGTAGCACACACTCAGGAAAAATGGGGACAGTAAATTCAGCTTTATCCCAAATGAGCATCACAGCACCTGACCCTGTGAGAACCATGAATTGGTCACTGTAAAGGATTAGAGGAAGGATTTCTGCATTCAGAGACCTCTTCTGAGAGCCCAACACATTCGAGAAGGCACATTCCCTGAGCCTCATGAGATACTCTACTATGATCAGAATTACATGATCCTGGAAATCCCTGTGCCAGCTGCTTCTCCTCCTCTGCCGTCCTGGACCTGCTGTATGGTCCAGAACCGCAATAAAGTGTGTCAGGCGTGCATATGTGAACCCTCACCAGATTCTCTGTACTGTCTTGCTGGGTTGGGCTGATGCTCTGCTCCTGCTTGTAAATAAGGAAACCGAGGGAGCAGAGCCTTACCCAAGACATGGAGCTCAACTAATGTGTGTCCACAGTGCTGCAGGCAAGATAAGGAGAGGCCTGGAGCAGCCCTGGACTCCAGGCAGGCAGGAGAAAGGTGAGACCTCTCGAGGTGTTGGTCAAGCAGGAAGATCCTGACTGGGAACCTGTTGTGGCTGGAGATTGTTTGGGCTAGGCTAGAATGGTGCGGGGCAGGGCTGGGCTGGGCCTTCAGTGATGCAGAAGCTGGAAGGTTAAGTTCCTTCTCGCTGAACACAGACAGTTACATCCTAGTCGATGCTGAGAGTGGCGAAGTCAAGCTCCCTTCCAGGCTGTCCTCGAAGGAGAACTGTCATCCTGCATTGTTGTAGAGAGAAGCCAGAGGCTGCCAGGGAAGAAGGTGTAGTTGGGGGGAGGGGGTACGGGTTCCCTGACACCGAATTCATTATTGGGAGATTCCTCTTCGCAATCCCTCAACACCTCCCACAGGAACCACGGGCCAGAAATGTCTGACAGCCTCTGGAGGGCCGACACCGGTGGCACTGGTGCCCGACTCCCCGCCCGCCCACTGCCTCCGAGTCCCTCCCCCTCAGGTCCCGCAGCCTCGAGAAACCTCTCCTAGGTTTAGCCTTGCGTCGCCGCCGCCGCCGCCGTGTCGGTGCTCCGCGGCCAGCCCCCCTGCGCACCGTCCCCTGTCCCCGGCGGTCATCCTCGGTTCCCCGCTGTCCGCAGAGGCCTAGCCTGACCCGCGCACCCAAACGTGGGGAGGGGGCGTCGGGAGTGGGGGGGGGGGAGGGCCAATGCGGGGGCGGAGCCTCGGAGCCGGGCGCGCGGCCGGCGCGGGCTGACGGAGGTCAGCGGCCGCGGGAGCGGACCCAGGCGTCCGGGAGGCGGCTCAGACGCGGCGCGCCACCGGGTGCCCGCCGCCGCCGCCGGCTCCCGCCCCTGGGCCGCCCCCCGCCCGTGACGCGCCATCCGTCCCTCCGCGTCGGAGCCCCAGCCCCAGTCCGAGCCCGAACCCTCAGCCCGAGCCCGAACCCGAGCCCGAACCCGAACCCGCGGAGAGCTCTGGGCGGCGGGCGGCGCAGGCAGCGCGGTCTGGAAAGGATGCGATCGCAGACGCGGGGCCGCCGCTGCGTCTGAGCCGCCGAGAGCACCGAGCGCCGCGTCGCTGCGGGCCCGGCGGCGCCATGGGGAAGGAGCAGGAGCTGGTGCAGGCGGTGAAGGCGGAGGACGTGGGGACCGCGCAGAGGCTGCTGCAGAGGCCGCGGCCGGGGAAGGCCAGTGAGTGCGGGGGGCGCGCGGGGCGCGGGCGGGGCCCCCACCGCCTGGGTGCAGGGCGGGGAAGGGATGCTGTGGGTCTCCGGGGGTGGGGCGGGGCCAGGAGCGCCCAGACCCTTGGTCCGCGCCCCCCCTTTCTCGCCCCAGCTCTGGAGGAGGGGCGGCAACGGGCGCCGGACCGTCCGCCCAGCCCCCTGCGGGCACCTGCGGCACCCACGGTCCCCTGAGGCCGTTGGCGATCACATCCTCCCTCGGATCCCCTCCCTTCCCAGGCTGCGGGCTGATGATTTCTACTTGGGCTTTTAAGGGCGAGGCGGATTCCCCCCACCCCCAGACACACTGTGGAGAGAGGGAGGGGCCCTTCCAGTGAGGGGCGACCCAGAGGCTAACAATCTCCGTCAGACCTCTGCTCCCCACCCTATGTTTAATAACAGGCTTTGCAGGGAAAGGGGTGGGGGAGGACCACGCTGGGGGTGTGGCTGCCCAGGCATGGCCAGTGGGGGCCATTTACTGATGAGGGAGTGAGGCAGAGGCCCAAGGTCGCCCAGCCCTGGGGCAGGTTGGGCTTCATGCAGGAAGAGCCTGGGGGATAAGGACTGTAGGTTTCTACAGACCTTGGTCATTCCTGTCTTCTCTGCTGGGAAAGGGGGCCAAGGATCAGTAAAGGAGCTCCCACACCATCCCTGGCTTGTGCCCTAGGGGTCCAGAGAAGGATTGGGAGCTTGGAGCTTCAATTCTAGCTCGTAACTCTGCTCATCCTGGAGCCTCCCTAGGGGCCTCTGGAGATGGACCAATGGGTGTGTGGACTAGCCGAGTGTGCAGCTGCGCACGTATGACCGTGTCAGTGTGTCAGGGCACCTGGGCAGGCATGAGCTGGGCTCTGTAGGTCAACACATGGGACCTGTGGGCCTTCACTCCCTACCCACCACCAGAGACTGCATATAAGCTGGGGGAAGGGGAGTCCCATTTCTCCAGGGGGCTGCTGAGACATGGGACTGTCTGGAATGGCTCCTGTCTACTTTACTGTTGGTGAGAAGGACACTGGTGCCTCCAGGCCACACAGGCTGGCTGGGAAGCTCCACTCACTAGGGTTGGCATTAGGGCCTCAAGACTGAGTGGAGGAGCTTCTAGGGAGAGGCAGATGGAAGAGGGTAAGGCACAGCTTTCCACCTAGCGGCCCTGTGTCCTTGGTCTTACTGACTCTCTAGGCCTTAATGGCCTTATCTGTAGGATGGAATATCTGTGGTCCCTGCCACCCCACAGCATTGTGGAAACAGTAAGAAGGCACTGATGAAGAGGAGACACTTAGTTCAGTAAATGCTAATGGTGCTGGCTTTTTTCTGCTGCCAGTCAGTGGGAACCACAAATATGGGGCTCCTCTTCCCTTCCCTTTGGCTGTTGTGGGGAGGTAAGAGGTACCTGGGTCTCTACCTCTGCCTCTGACTGGTGTGGTCTCAGAGACAAGCAGAGGCACCTGTCTTGGCCCTTATGTCTGTACTCTCTGAGTCAGAGGGGCGGTGCAATAAATCAGACAGAGAAATCCCTCCATGAATTAGCTCGGTTGTCATGGCAACACTGGCCTGCTTTGGAGTAAGATGTATTTTGATTTAGCAAAGTACAGCTGGAGTTTGGGCCATGGGGTGGGGGGTGTCCATAAGTATCCTCGAGAGTGTGTTCCCCCACACACACCAGTCAGGCGTAGTGGCGCACGCCTTTAGTCCTAGTGATTGGGAGGCAGAGACACACAGATCTCTGTGAGTTCAAGGCCAGCCTGGTCTACATAGTGAGTTCTAGAGATGCTGTCTCAAAAAACAAAAACAAAACAAAAAAGAGTGTGTTCCCCAGCCCAGCCTAGAGGTTTTCCCACCGTCTTGCTCTTGAGTCTTTTTGGGTGCCCAGCTCTTCCCTCCAGCCCATGGCTCTGTTAGCCACCACCTCACCTCTAAGGGAACCTGCACATGTGTGCTCACTTAGCAGTTAGCCTTGAGAGAAGAAGAGACAACTTTGGAGGGCAGATGTTAGCAGGGGCTGCCCTGCTGCTGCTGGTAAGGGGTTCCTGTCTAGTTTTGTGGCCTAGCCTCCCTCCCCAAGGCAGGCTGAGGACACCCTGTAGGAATTCCCAGAACCTATCTCTCTTTCATCTTGGCCCACTAAGAATTCCCTTCTGGCATACACACCTTTAATCCTAGTGCTTTGGAGACCAAGTTAGGATCTCTGTGAGTTCTAGGCCACTCTGGTCTACATAGTGAGTTCCAGGCTAGCCAGGACAGCATAGTAAGATCTGTGTTTGTATCTGGCCTCAGGCTGGTCTCTGGAGAGCAGCTTGAATTCTGGGGTCACAAGAAACAGGGGCAAGGTTTGTGCACTATTTGTGTGTGTGTGTGTGTGTGTGTGTGTGTGTGTGTGTGTGTGTGTGTGGTCCTGGAGATAGAATCCAGAGCTTCATGAATGCTAAGTAAGCTCTCTATCAGGAAGCTGCATCCCATGCCTGTGTACTGTATTGATGCAGACCCCTATTAAAAAGTGAAAGGGGGCCAGGCTGTGGTGGCACACACCTCTTTAATCCCAACCCTGGGGGGCAGAGGCCGGCAGATCTCTGAGTTCGAGGCCAGCCTGGTCTACAGAGTCAGTTTCAGGACAGGCAGGGCTACACAGAGAAACCCTGTCTCGAAAACCAAACCAAACCAAGTGAAAGGGTCTCTCTCCTGAGGCCTTCATCTCGGCCACCACTTGCCCCCTCCTCAGTTCCCAGGCCACCAACCAGCTATCTTTTCCCCCTGATTCATTCTCAGAGCCTGTCCTGCTGTGGGATGGCCACCCCAGCCCTACCCCTTCTTCAGTACCTTCTGCAGGCACTGGGGATGCCCTGAGACCTCAAACTGCCCTCCAAGCACTTTACACTACTCCCCTCCCTAGGGGACTGTGGATTTGTGTCCTTGGAAAGGTGACCCTCCCCACATGGGGAGCAGTTCCTTTTTTTAAAAAAAATTAACTAATTTTCTTTTGAAACACTCTCACTGTGAAATCCTAGCTGGCTAGCTGGCTACATAGGCCAGGCTGGCCTTGAATTCATCTATCTACTTCTGCTTCCTAAGTGCTGGGATTAAAAGCATACACCACAGTGCCGGGCAGTGGTGGTGCTTGCCTTTAATCCCAGTACTCGGGAGGCAGAGGCAGGCGGATCTCTATGAGTTCGAGGCCAGCCTGGTCTACAGAGTGAGATCCAGGACAGGCACCAAAACTACACAGAGAAACCCTGTCTCAAAAAAAAAAAAAAAAAAAAAAAAAAACCGAGCCGGGCGGTGGTGGCGCACGCCTTTAATCCCAGCACTTGGGAGGCAGAGCCAGGTGGATCTCTGTGAGTTCGAGGCCAGCCTGGTCTCCAAAGCGAGTTCCAGGAAAGGCGCAAAGCTACACAGAGAAACCCTGTCTCGAAAAACCAAGAAAAAAAAAAAGCGTACACCACCGCTGCCTGTTGTTGTTGTTGTTTTAAAAAACAAGCATTTATTTATTTATTTATCTATCTATTTATTTATTTATTATTGGCGCTGACTTTTTTTTTTTTTTTTTTTTTTTTTTTTTTGGTTTTTCGAGATAGAGTTCTCTGTGTAGTTTTGGTGCCTGTCCCGGATCTCGCTCTGTAGACCAGGCTGGCCTGGCCTGGAGCTCACAGAGATCTGCCTGGCTCTGCCTTCCGAGTGCTGGGATTAAAGGCGTGTGCCACCACCGCCCGGTGACGGTCCCATTCTTGATGGAGCCCTCCCTCCTCTCTTGTGTCTTTTTCTGAGTCTTGACCTCTCTACCCCTTAGAACATTAGCTTCTGCTTGTCTGACCTCAGAGCAGCTTGCCTGGGGCTTCCACTCCCTAAACCTGACTGTGTAGCTGCCTGGAAGCCCCTTGGTGGAGGGAGAACAGGAATTTAGAAACCTTGGAGACCCTGAGACCTGACTGTATTACAGTTGAGAAGAACGGGGCAAAGTGTCTTGAGCATGGCTCTGGAGGGGATGCCATGGAACGGTGACATCAGTTCATAGCACGGGACTGTAGCAGACCCAGCGGTAGGTAGTTTTCAGGGCCTTGTGTAAGATGCTAATGTAGGACCCTTATCTGAAATCGAAGTATTCAAGTAGGGGACCTTTCTCAGTAACTTCACAGGTCACCTACCCATGAAGCTGACCCTAAAGATGGACAGAGGGCATGTAGGATGGAGATGGCATTGTTTAGCCACCAAAGCCATGAAGAAAACTGACGTGATACCCTGGGTGGTGAAGAGGTCTAGGGAGAAAACCACAACCAGGTCGGAAAGGGCAGCATTTTGGATGAGAGACCTTGAGAATAGGTTCCATCTGAACGAACTGAAGTGTGTGAAGGAGGGTGTGATGCAAAGGCCCTGTGGCCCTGGTGGCCTGTATGTTAGAGGACATCAAGGTGGCTGTGCAGCTGGAGCAGGATGATGAAAACAGAGGAATGGGAAGAGGTCCGAGCAAAAGCAAGGGCCAATCACGTGAGACATTGCAGCC